TCCGGCTCCTCGATGTCCTTCTCACAGTACTTCCACACGCCCTTGCGTTCCAGCTTCACCTTCATGCGCTCGAACCACACCTCGAAGTCCTTGCCATCGAACGGTGGTTGAGCAGCCTTCTCGCCCTTCATGCCCTTCTTCTTCGTATCTACACTTGTACTGTAACGGGGTTACACGAGAGTTACCCGAAGGGCTACGAAGTGGGTACACACTGTCTAACCTAAATCAGTAGGAGAATCAGTGCATGGCTTCAGAGCCACTGATTATGCATATGACTAGGGTTCACTTTGCTAGATAGTGAACCGGATACATTTACACCGTAGGCGGCTTTGCCGCAATAAAGGGAAATACATTCAGTTTGAGATTCACACAGTTCAGAGTTAAGGGTTGACTCTTGGAGTCCGTAAGGTGTACGGACTCGTACGTTCTGGTGACACGAGGCGGTCCCCAGAAAATTGCCGACGATGTGCCGTCACCTCTGTGACCTGGAGTTTGTATCGGATGCTGATTGGTGAATGACTTGGATACGGCGCGGCTGTACCCGTGTGACATGGATGGCGACTGTGGGAGAGAAGTGATTTCTCGGGATGAATCCAGCGTCTGCCGCAGATGGGCCCAACTGGCTGGAAGTGTGAATCCTGGGAGTGCACGCCCAGAATTTCAGAGAACACTCAGTCCAGCCGCGGACTTTCCCTTACGATGAGTGCCTAAAGTCTGGCGGAAAGTGTCTCTGGAGAATGTATCCCAGATACACCTCATCTTGCTGTGGCTCAGAGTGCCCCAGAGGATCAACTTACCCTGAGAATCAACCCACTACTACCATGATCATGCGCAGGAGGCCGCTAAACCCGCTAAACGTGTGGCTTTGAGGAGATACACACGAGTCTGCACTGCAGCAGACTTGTTACCCAGAGTGCCGCACGATGACGCAGAGTTCACCTCCCTGAGTGCAGGTGACCCAGAGTTGAAAGATGATTCTCTGGGTTTGGACCATAAATCCAGACTCTCTATACTGAACTGAAGTGTTTCCCAAGCCAACACCCAAGAATCCCTACAGTTCCCCAAGATTCCTCAGAATTCCCAGGATTTCAGAAGATGACCCTGAGTGTCACCTGATTCTCAGGGATTCGAGTCGGTTCGCAGTCAGTCTGCAATCAAAGTGATGCGTGACCTTGAAGAACCGTTGTGGATGCACTGACTGGATACTTTCGAGGAGTCGAGAGGGAGTCCTGCACCATACTAAACCAAGTCTAAGGACCCACAATTGGCACTTTCGACGCCGTGCGACAATGGATTCGCAAGCCGATCGCAAGATTGGACCGCTGATCCCAAGGTATACTCAAGACAAGACATTTTGACCCCAAGCATAGTGAACAGAAGATATTTGCCCGAAGAAGATATATATATATATATATATATATATATATAGAGAGAGAGAGAGAGAGAGAGAGAGAGAAGTAGCTGATAAAAGCCAAACAGAGTTCCTTTTACCCTGTACTGCGCAAGTGACTTTGGCCAAGCCTGCTGACGGAAATCCGGAGGACCCGAGACTACGACCGCGGGACGCTAAGGGCACATCAACGGCGAAGGACAGCCGTCTGTGTGGGCTCCATCAAACTCAAGTCCAGTTAGGTGGTGACCAGCGACGGCCTTGAGCTTCCTGGGGTGATCCATCTATTCCATATCCTAGTTGGGTCACTTGCTGTGCTCGTGGTAGCCCATTTCATATTATTCCAGAGGGTATTCTGGGGTGCTAGGCAGTCGCCTCCAGGATTTTGTATTGACTGCTTGTGTGAAGGGAAGGTAACTGATAGTGGTTGTATTTTCCTCCTTTATTGGAGGTGGTGCGCGTTTGTGTGAGTCTCAGGGGAGCTAGGCCCCTGAATTTCAGACTCGAGTGAGCCTAGTGTGTGTGTGACCCACCGTCCAAGGGTCCAAAAGAATAAGTGACGGCTAGTTGTAGTGTTTGTATACTCTGTATTTGTTGGTTTTATCGAGCTAGGAGGGCATTTGGGTAAGGTGTCTTCTGAGTTCCAAGTCCCAGAGTTGACTGAAATCCTGGACCCTGAATTCGTGATATTCTGGGTTTCAGGGGATCTGATTCTCTGGGTTTGCCTTTTGGTGTGGAGGTGCGTTCTGAAGTAGACGTGCGCTCCCGCACTTCTTCGAGGCTACATTTACAACCGGTGGAGTGCCGTTCCGTCGAAGACAAACGAGCCGACAGGGATTACACAAGGTACCCACGCCAACCAAGGAGTGTGATTCTCAGGGTTTAAAGCTTTGCGGCTGCGAATCTCTGGGTCTATCTTCTTGCTGTTGACTCTCAAGTCGATTCTCTGGGTCTACCCCTCGGGAACAGTCTTGGGCTGCGCTATACGAACACCCCTGGGCGACAAAGATTTCATCGGCCTCGCCTCACTGGTATTAGAACGGGCTATATTAAGCTGAGACTCTGTGAGTCTGTTACGTCTTCCTCTGACGCTAAAGCTACGGCAGTTCCGCTGCACTTGGTAGCACTTGTAGTCAATCCGACACCTGAGTCTGTACAGACTGACCCTCTGTGGAGAATGGAGCAGTTCGCTCACTTGCCCCCGAACCAGCAGGATGCGCTTAAAAAGCTTATGTCCTTGCTGGGCCCCGAGGGCGTGACGCAACTTGCGCAGCAAGGCCCCGACGCGGTGAACGCGCGTCTCGAGGCGTTTTTAAGCTACGAGAATGCTCTGCTAGAGCACCTCCAGCAGATGATGGCAACGGCCGCGGCGCCCCAAGCGCCCGCTTCGTCATTCGACGCGGGAACAAGACCCAAGCCGCTCATGTTGAGCGTGAAGACCTTCGAAGGTAAGGAGGGTGAAAGCTTGATGCTTTGGACCCGTGAGATTGAGATGGCTATGAGCTCAGCTCTACTCCGGACGAAGTCGCAGCGCGTGGCTCTAGCTATCTCGAAGCTCGGTGGGCGAGTGGGCACTAACGTCCGGGACGTCGGTCGAGGTGGCCTTCCCGACGTGGGACCAGCTGAAACAGCAATTGTCTCGAGTGTTCGCTCCGCCTAACGAGGCGTATCGCGTGCGCTCACGCTTCCTGGCTACTCGGCAGAGCAAGAAGGAGTTGGTGGACTATGTCCAAGAGTTGAGAACTCTCATTGCTGGCATGTCTACGGACCCACTGCCGGAAGTAGTCACCGTTACGGTGTTCATGGAGGGCCTTCGCACTGGCGTTGCCTGCTCCGAACCCACCCGAGCTCTTTTGAAGAGGCTGTGAGCGTCGCATTGACTGCGGAGCACAACTTTAAGTCGTCGAGACTTGGATGGAATGCGTCTTACGCTAGCGCGTCGAGTGGTCCGGAACCCATGGGCCTCAGCTATGCTGAAGACGAAGAAGCCGAGCTTCGTGCTGCTGAGCAGCGTCGCGGTATCCGCATATGCTTCATCTGTGGTGACACCCGTCACCTTTGTGCTGGGTGTCCGCTGCGCCATCAGCGCCAGGCTTCGTCAAGCCGCTCTTCGAGTTCGAGCCAGGGCTCTGGTTTGTCTCGGGGAAACGAGAAGTCCCAGTAGCCTACTGGGGAATAACTAAGCTCTATTGAGCCTCGGCGAGGTGGAGGTCGACAGGACTTAGCCCCGAAGAGAGCCGTACTCTCTAACACGGAACGTGTATGCAAGCCGGGCTTGCTAGTTGTCCAAGCTGGGGTGAAGGGCTTCACCAAGCCATGGATGATTTTGATCGATTCGGGAGCGTCGGGTAACTACGCCCGGGGTTCTACGATGGACGGAAGTCAGCTTTATGCTGAGGCGCTGGTAGCGCGCGGGAGTGACATCGTCACTGTTCGTCTCGCGACGGGTGCTCGTGTCACGATGCCTAAGGTCCCTGTGGACCTGGGCGTGAAGTTTTTGGCTTTTGATAGCGTGGAACGCTGTCTGGTCTTAGACCTCGATTCGAGATATGATCTCATCCTTGGTATGGCGTGGCTGGAACGCCACGAGCCTTGGATCGATTGGAGGTCGAAGATCCTTGGTGCTACGCATTTCTCTCCTGGCGGAGCATTGGCGAGTCATGAACCCACCTCTGCTAGGAAGCGCTTCTGGCGCGAGCACTGGACCGAGTCGGCCAATGCGCTGGACATCGGAGTTTCCGAGTTGGTGGACACTGAGTGTGTTAAGAACGAGCGTTCCGAGCGTGGCTCGCGGACGGCAGGTGGAGCGGCACGAATTCCGCTGAGCGGGCGTGCGTCTGAGGGCGACGCCCTGCTGCGTGCCAGAGACGGCGCGGTCGGCACGATGCTGAAGAACAAGGGGCTTTGCCCGGATGAAGATGGTGGAGTGGCACGTAATCCACTGAGTGGAGGCTGCGGATCGTGCAGCTCTTCACTGAGTGTCAGTAAAGACACTGGGGCTCCCCTGGAGCTGAACGAGGTGGTGACACCTGGCGTCAAGACGCACGCGAAATCACGGAGCTCTTCAGGGAGGACGGTGTCCATTAAGAGGAGGCACCGCCGCAAAGCGCTGGCTGCGAGGCGCAAGGCGTCTGCGATCTCACGAGTCGAGAAGGGCGTGTCGAGCGGTGAGGCTCCACGCGAGAGCGAGCAGCTCTATACACTCGTGAATGGACTGACGGGCGACGTCGACGGAGGTATCAACCTCGACGACTTGTGACACGATGGAAAATTGGGCTTTCGTCTGGGCACATGCTGATTGGCTGAAATGGTGCGCCCGGACAATGTGGATTGCGGGACAAGTACAAGGATCTGGGACCCGGCGAAGACTCGCCCAGGATGCATATCGACCAGCGACCCTGGCCGAGTCGCTAACTCATTTTGTGACTCTGGCCGGGTGTAAGTCTGGGAGATACGATCAAGTTATACTCAAGTCAAGATGT